GAGCTGCGGCTCGGCAGAAGCGTGCTGGTCTGAGAGGCAAAAGGGCCGTCTGGTCCCGCCAACAGCCTCAAAAACCATCACGAACCTCTCCAGAGCTCAACTAGAGCAACTCCTAAGGTCCGCTGGAGGCTGGGTTGGAAGAAAACAAAGAGCAAGTAAGGTTTTTTTCTTTTTTTTTCTTTTTCTTTTTTTTTTTTTTTTTTTACCAGCCTGTTGCACAGCGCAATTAGATCTCATAGGTCAGCAAAACAGGAAACACGAGTGTGTGGACAGAACACCCACAGGATGCAGCTGAAAAGCTCTACACAAACCGGAGTCAAGGTGTCCTATGTGTACTGCCAGACCACCTGGATGAGTTCTGGTGATGGAGAATTCAAAGGCAGAATTTTTTTTTAAAAAAAAAAAAAAAAACATTTAAGCTTTCCACAAAGAGTGTTGAAGGCAGTGGAACAAGTTGGGGGAACAGAGTGGTACAGGATGCTCAAAGGTATGCCTGTTACCCATTCTTGAAGCCCACCAACAAGGCCTAACAAACTATGCGTTGGAGCAGACTAAGGAGCTGGCGAGGATTTCCAGCAAGACTATCCAAACAGCTGGGAATGGCTCAATGCAGCTCACACCCTGTGGATTTAAGAGAAGAACCCAACTCGTGTCAGTAGGACTTGCAGATCCTGGGCAGTGATGTAAAGGCCTGCCACACACGGTCACATGCAACTGGCACAGTCGCTTCAGTCGGAGCTGCAGTCCCGTCTCAAGGCTGTGACTCCAGCACACCCACTGCTACCCTGATCCCTCGGAAGCCTCAGTCCGTAGGAACAGTCAGACCATAATCCACCACATTTCTAAATCAGTCTCGATTGTCCCTGGGCATCTGCAGAGGTCTGAAAAGCAGAGGGCAATAGTTGCTTGTCTTAATTGAATTATATCATCAGTGCTTCAAATAATGTCATGTAGATGCTCAGTGTAAGACCAGCCTCTAAAAACATTGTAGGCTGAGGCAGTAAGGAAATCCTTCAAGTTCTATTAATAAAAAGTTGGTAAATGTTTTCTCCCCTCCCCCAACTTATTTAAAGGTGTTTAGAAATAAAGAAAAAGCCCCCCCAAAACAACCTTTTCCCCTGTGAAAAGTTTATACAAAAAGGAAACATCTAATTTAATTTACATTGCCTTGGGGTTTGGGGATTTTTTAGTTGTTGTTGGAAATTTGGATTCCAAAAGTTTGTGCAGAACGAGCTATTTCCATTCAGAAGTGCTGTCACAGAGAGTCAAGAGAAGGTACTGGTAATGCCTCCTGTTTCCACTTTCCTCTACAGTATAAGTACCTCCATCTTGTATCTTTCTTCTTGGAGAGGAGAAATGGTGCACAGATCCATCTTGGCCTCCATCCTTTCCTCCCTATTTCTTCTTTCCATTCTCAAGTATTTCTGATGGTTTAAAATTCATCCTCTCCTATCAAAGCATTAGTGTAAATAAAACAAAATTTAACTTTATAAATGCATAATAGTGTCTAGCAGTCTAGTAACCTATAATGTAAAGAATTCGGAAAAATAAAGTGCTGAATTACCCTTAGTAGGCTGCTATGCAATATTAGCTTGAGGAGGCATAGCACAAGCTCATCAGTTCTGCCCCGAAAGAACTAATACGAAGAACGGTTGGAGTAGAATAAATACACTGTGTTTTAGAAGAAGAAAAAACAAAGACAGGTCATTGGTATTATTTGAATTAAATCACCATTTTGTGCATCCTCCTTCCCACTGATAAGAGGAATATGCACAAAATCAACCTTAGAAAGCGTAAGCAGGAAAGGAACGCGCTCCTCATATATTCATTCAGAGGGAAAAAAGAAAAGCTGGTTCCAGACTCCATGTGTCTCTAGATCTACTGTTCGTCACATGTTTTAACTGTTTTGTGTATAGATCAAGAAAGAAACTTCAAGCCTGTCACTGAAGTGAAAGTCCTTGTACGAAGGACCGTTAGCCACATCAGCCGGCTGGCGTTCATGCTCAGCAATTGATTTTCCGCTTCAGGCCGACTTCACTCCAGACTATATCTCTACTGCTGAATTAAGCATGGCTGCAAGACCATGCTCCAGTACTGAGGCCAGCTGGCGCTGTAAGAGGCCATGTCTGCTCTGTTAAATTCTCTTGGCATCCAGAACACGGGGGCTTACACCGAACTGGTGTTTGAGGAGTCCCTGGCCCAGGTGAACTTCCAGATCAGCTCTGGAAACTTTTTGAGAGTGGTAAGTGGCCTGGGCCAGGGATCAACCCAGCAATTTGTTAGTAGACTCAGAGGAATGTCCAGGAAAGTTTCCTTGGGCACCATTAATTACTGGCCTATACGTAGCCCTATAGACTCCAGACCAGTCCAGCTAGGCACCCATGCGGGTAGCTGCTGATCATTGGATTGCATCCGGGAGTAAGAAGTGGCACAGACTGTAGGGGACAGGGGCTCTGGGCTGTAAATCAAACTTTGTCACGGACAAGGAAGACAGGCAGCAGATGTTTTTATATGTTCTTTAATCTCAGCATCGCTGAACACTTCCTACAGTACGCTTAAACCCCAAAGCAGAGCAGTAATAGGAGACTACTAGTTAGTTGTGAAAGCGTAAGTGGTACAGCCAGAGCAGCAATTTGACAGAGATCCCAAGGCACACTTGGGTTCATTCAGTAAAACAAAACAAAAAAAAAAGCAGGGAAAAGATCACTTTGTTCAAAAAGAGGTTTACAAGGATGTAAAGTCTCTATAGAAGAACAGGGAAAAAAAAAAGGAAAGAGAGAGCAAAGATACACGTAAAACTAAAACATGAAGACATCTGGCTTTTTTGAACGAGCCAGTGTTTTGGAAACTCGTTCTTCATTTGTTGACACAGTAAAATGTCTTTTCTCTAGAAACTCCAGCATTTACATGGTCACCGCTTGCATTGTTTTTCTGTATTTTTTTTCTTCCTCAAGGGATTATCTTTAAGTAGTTGAAGTCCAAATTGTTAACCTGCTTTGTAATAATGTAGCAATTTTTAAACCAGTAGTGAAGGGTGGATTATAAAAAATGAGATCCAAATCACATGCTCGTTCTTCATGCAACGTTGTCAGAGAAAAAAACCCCAAACCCCTAAGAAAATAAAAGCATTATGTTTGGCATTCATTTTGCATTGCTTCCTTTCTTATTGTAACCAACGATTTTAGAGAAAGCCATATTGACCTATGTAAGAAGAATATTTACAAATTTTATTCTAAGAAATGTCCTTTTCGTGTGATAAAAGACGGTTTGCTTTTGTTTGTCTGTTCAAACAGAAAGAATACAGGAAAGAAATATTACTTTCAAGTAAGAAGCAACAAGTTAATATGCTCTGACATGGGTATTCATCAGTTCCTGTTCTTGTTTCCAGTTTGGAGCCTGGGAAAATAAGGTTTGCGACACTGAAGAGAAATGAAAAAAAAAAAAAAGTCTTAATTTTTAACTGTAATTCCTTTGGGATTATTTTAAATGTATCACACATCACACATTAATTTACAATCTTGACTAATGTTATGGCTAAAATTTTGGAAATTATTTAAAAACGCTTTGGGGAATAATGCACAGATTCCTATAGTGACTCCACTTGCATTTGATCTGTTGTTCAGACTAGCACTACACATACATACTCAGGAGGTTAAATGAGGGAAAGCTGGCATCTTTCCTGTAGGCAGTGGTCTGCCCCATGCACAGCCACTTACACTTTATTACACTGGTATTTTCTGGCCATAAATCCTAAATTCACCCTTTTTTATTTCATCTTGTTAATTCTAATTCCCATGAATGAGCCATAATAATACTGCGCATAGAAAAAGCGTTTGCTGCTGCTTCTGTGTCTTTGCTGATTTTAAATACTTTATTCACCTGCCATTACCCATTTTTATACACAGGAATCCTTCCCATTTCGTTTCCACTTGTTTCATGACTGTGAGCAGAAAAATTGTTAGTAGGCAAATCAAAACATGTCCAACACTGGGAGGCGGTTTGAGAACCTGTTGCAATG